GATGTCTGTTTTAAACTTGTGCTACGCTGTATTATTCATAAATTGGCACCCTCTCCCCGCCTCTATACTATACACTATATTTGTACCTCTATATTTGTACACTAAATTTGTCACTATTTGCCTCTATATTTGTACACTATTGGCCCTTCGGGCCTATAGGGTACAAATAAATAAATAAATAAATAAATAAATAAATAAATAAATAAATAAATAAATTAATAAATAAATAAATAAATAAATAAATACGAGGTACGATTATTCAGACAGACAGACAGACAGACAGACAGACAGACAGACAGACAGACGGACAGACAGACAGACAGACAGACAGACAGACAGACAGACAGACAGACAGACAGACAGACAGACAGATAGATAGATAGATAGATAGATAGATAGATAGATAGATAGATAGATAGATAGATAGATAGATAGATAGATAGATAGTGAACTTCTCTTCTTACCCGGCGATGACGATGAAGAAGTCGAGGCGGTTCCACGCCTCGGCCAGGTACGCGCTGCGTCCTAGCAGTCCCATGGCGAGCACCTTGATGGTCATCTCGATGGCGAAGAAGGCGAATATGAGGTCGTCGAACACCTGCAACAGGCGGCATCGGGCCGAGACGCAGCCGTCGTCCGCGCACGGCTGGTACATGCCGAGCGTGACGCAGTTCAGCAGGATGACCAGCATGCTCACCCGCTCGAACCACGTGATCGGGAGGAGGGCAGTCAAGGAAGCAGCGTACGCAAAGAGGTTGGATAGACGTCGAACACACACTACACACACGCGCATGCGAAAACAAAACAGAAGAGTGTAGGGAACTCGGAGACTTCATCCCCATGAAGGGTATTTCTGAACGAGCACGAGTCGCTCTTTCTCAAGAGGAGATCAAGTACTTGAACGACGAAAGGGCGCGGTACCAGGCGAAGACGAGAGAACATCAACAGGGAGCTGAGGTGACTAACAGTAATCTGTTTCATCGTTCAATACAGCGCTGTTTCGTCGTACAAGTTCGGCATGTACAAACCTGGGCGACTCATGACGACAGCGCAATATATTCAGGTACGTTGGCTCCAGCGACGCTGACTGTTTAGCGATTTCTCAAAGCACATAAAGACACAGAAACACGTCACAGGACTTCAGCGGTGGCGGACATATACTAAGAGTGCGCGCGTACGTTTTTGTTTTTTTTTCTCTCTAAAGAAGTGCGAAAAATAGAACTCGCATGCTCTCTTAAGAATTCAGCTGCGACACCTCGAATGCGAAATCCATGTTCTTTTCAATCAAGTGTGTTTTATTCTCCCACCCCACTCTCCCCTGCCCTCACATTTCCCGGGAACTAAATCTTTCGAAAAGATTTCGCAGTGGCTCTTTCACCCATATTTGGGGTGATGAATCAAGGTGTCGATAAGCGCAATTCGTTATCAAAATCAATTTTCCCATTTGCTTGCATACTGCTAGCATTAGCCGAGGTTGGTAAAAACTGGCTTTTAATGTTGGTTAACTGCGGGAAAGCTTTACAGTTGTGTTGGCTAAACGATTACTCTTGCCAGCTAGTGCTGGTAAGTTTTGCCTTATGTTGAGCAGTATCAATGCAGTGGTTGTCTACCAATATTGACGCAGACGTCCGTAATGGAGATGCGTTCTAACATAATGACTTAATGAAATCACTTCTTCATAATTGAGGCTAAGTTGAGCCTCAGATGTCTCATCGAATACGAACACTGGCCGCCGGTGTCAACTCGAAGGATGCAAATAAACACATATGACGTGGTGACGTTTCCATGCGATGTCATCACTGCGTCACAAGTCCCCCGAATTCACTACGTCATCATGGCGCCATTATGACGCCGCATAACGTGACTTCACGTGAAGGCGAACATCATCGTCCGCTTTCTATTTTTCATAAGTTTCATCGCGCTACCGCTCGCTTATTTGTGATAATCACAGCTCATCGCCGGTCATTTTGGTTGACCTAAACGCACCAAAGCCGTTCGCCCTCCCCATGCTCCGACCGTGGCTCACTAATCTTTTAATAATGCCCGCACACTGATCTTCCTTCTTTGTGTGCATGTCAAGGTACTGGAACGTTCCCCCCTTGCCAGGACCGTGCAACACTCCAGCTTGATACTTTTGAAAGGAGGTGCTGTGAAACATGTCCTTCGTTAAATTGTTGCCGATTCCTCGTGTAAAACCCCTAAACAAGGACCTTTGAAGTATTGGAAGTAAATAAATGATTAAAATGTCATGACAATGCCGTGTTCTCAACGATGGTCCGATTACGTAGGCAGCGCAAGACCACATGATGTGCGAGAAGCCTCAATGACTGCCTTTCTGGAGGGAATACAAAACCACGTTAGTCGCACAAAGGTTTCGGACGGGGTGTGAGAGAAGATCGATGCGTAGACTGGTAGGTGCAAGAAGACGGCTTTCAGCTTAGAATAGATTTAGGCGAATGCAAAAAGAGAGCGTTATGAGTTTACCAAAACGCTGCGTGCGTTTTATAGCGCTCTGTGTCTTAGAGCAAGCGTGGCCACAGTTGTGCCTTCTTTTCGGCACTACGAGAGGCTGTCCGGCAGCCCCTTGTGCGGCGGCGGCGGCTGATTTCGCAACGAAACGCGAAAGGTGCAGCGAACATTAACACTACCGCTCCATGGCAACGGGCCGCTTCTAGTGTCGCAATCGCGAACGCTTGAACTACGCGACCGGAAAAACAAAAGAAGGTTAAAAATAAAGGCAGCAAGACATCGACCGCTTCTGACATCTTTGTTGTTGCAGCTGCGGGCAGCGATATCGTTTAAAACAACGACCGATTTGTTACATTGTACAGCGACGTCAGGCAAAGTTTGCAGGGACACACGCATAAGGACACGGTGCCATACAAGTGAAGTATAATTGAACTGTTGAAGTTGGGTCGTTTGAACAGTTGAAGTATGGTGAGAGTGTCCAAGGCTCACACCGAAGCCTTGGGCACTCTCGTTTTCTCTCTCGTTAAGGCCAGCGTTGGCAGACCGAAGTGGCTCACCCGCGTCCGCTGTATAATACGGTGGGTGCAGTGGGTGAAACACTTTGGTCTGCCAAGGCTGGTCATAATTAGAGAGAGGGAGAGTGTGAACAAGGCTTTCGTCTGAGAAACGAAACGTCTTTAAAAAAATATATATTTTTTGTTACGGCACTGTGTTTCCTTTGTCACTGTCTTTCCCGGGTCAGTCAGGATTTCGCCGAACTCTCGACTTCTATTGGACTATGTCGTAAATCTGGAGTTAATACTCAAAGGTGGCTTCTCTATCATCACATAGTTTACATTTGGGCTCGGGGTGTGATTGGGGAAGCACGCGGTTAACATGTACCGGGTTAACGTGAATTCTGGTTTGAAGGTGCATTCAGCCAGCCACCTTTTCGGTACTTTCTGTTTCCTTCTTAAAGCTTAACGGAATATTAGTGTTAACTCTCCATAAAGAAGTGTGCGTCGGCGCACAGGAGGAGACACGTTCTTGAATACGAAGACAAGTGAATAAAATGCAGAGTGAAAGAGAGAGAGAGAGGTGTAGGGAGAAGAAAAGGAGGGAGAAGAGTGAGCCTCTGTCGTTTCCTCTGCATCCACCGTGTCCACCTGCAAAACACAAAAAAGTCAGGAAAAATTGCATTACAGCACTTGTATTAAAAGATTCATCGTACAATAATACTGAATAACACTGAATGCCACTCTGAAATGTTGTGAGGCGGCTCGCGCCAACCTGGACCGCATTATCAGGGCATGTTCCGCAGCGACACAGACACTAGACAGAGCCAACCTTGCATATATTAAAACCATGCTCGAGCAGTGGTAAGCAATGTACTGGTTTACGCATTCCCGGATAACCGACTGAGGGCTTTATACCAAATATGGTGACGTAGTGCACCGGTGAAGTAGTACGAATAAGTACATGGTGAGGTAGTATACCGTATCGTGGTATGATGGAGTGCAGTATGCTGAATGACCAGTCACCAACTAGCCCAGCTCTCAACCTTAATGACTATGGGCAATCCAGCTGGCCGAAGACGCCTCCAAGACTTAAGGTCTGGCCACTGCTTCAGGAATGGGGGCTCCGGCAGCGCAGGTCTCCGGGTCCTCATCTTCCTTGAGCCCAGCAAGGACAAAAAAATGGAGTTTCGTCTCTCGCCGTCTCGTGAAACAACTGGAAACAGACGTATTGTGTGAACAGGCTTAATTTCTCTCAAGGCTCCTTCCCTTTCTGAAGCGGCAACCTTATGTGGCTTCACGAAGGTTGAGCGTTGAGCTAGTTGGTGCCGCGTAATTCAATCTTTCACAGTGCATGAAACGAGGACGAACGGTGACACAAAGGGCGCTGAAGGTCTGTGTGTCTTTTTTTTTTGTTCGTCCTCGTCTTATGCGCTCTGAAAGATTGACTTATGTGACACTTTGCGCATTTAGCGAAAAACGGGAAGCGAAAGAAGCGGTACGAAAGTTTAGTTTACCAACATCATCAGTGACGTCGTGAGGACGGGAAATATCTCAGCAGTTTGTCGTGTCGTCATGATGTTGTATTTATTTATATATTATTTATTTATATATTATTCATTTATCCACTCGTTTTTTATTTATTTATTTATTTATTGACGCCTACAGCTCCAGCGTGGGGCACTATGGTAACGTTGAATTACTGACACTGAAATACAATTGCAGATACATATTACCGCGATAGCGTTAAGGAGCTGGTGTCGCAGGAAACCCGCCGCCGGCGTCGGATCCGTTGGTTGTGAGCGAAAAATCGTCTGTGCGCCTGTGACCGAAAAATCAAGTTTCCGAGATCGCCGCGGGAGGCCGCTACTTGTCCACGCGTGCGCGCACGATCACACTGAAAAAAGCCGCGCATACAAAGAAAAAGAAAAGTGCTCAAGGCCTTAAGGGTCCCTCAATTTTTAGAATGCGCAAGGGCGACATGTCATTAAAATTGACGTGTTAACAACATACAATAAAAGCCAGGCAGAGATCGCAAAAGAAGAAGCTAAGCACAGGTCCCAAAAGCAAGAAAGTAACTACCAAAAAATACTCAAGCTGCTCCGTTCCGAGGACACCGATGAAACCGCGAAGGTGGTGTGGCGTTACCTTCGTCAAGCCATCGCATTTTCATGTTTCGCTAGTCTTTCTGGTGTGTTGTATCCCTGCTCTTCATTCAACACTCCTTGTTAAGCTCCGAGGTGGTAGTATAGGTTCAAGGCATCATGACCGTACCACCTTTGTAGACAGGTTCTCAAGGAAGCAGTCGCTTGAGAAACTTAGATATGCTGTATCACTGCTTTTAGGTGTGAAGCTGCCTGGGGTCACGCTAAATGCGGTGTGCGGTGGGACCATGTGCGTCCTCGCTCCGCAGCAGGGCTTCCCAGGCATCCCTACAATTTATATTCGATGTAGCGCCTGGAGAGATATCGCACTCCCATATTATGTGTATGACGGTCCCTCTCGCCCCACAGTGCTCGCAACTATCGTTCTGACTATCATCCTTATGCATAGAGTTTCCTAAAATTAACTAGAGGGGACTCTCGCGCTGCGATCGTTCGGCGACCATGGGAATGATAGGTAGTACACACATTTGCCTAGTCTTCGTACTTGCGGGTACTTGCGGCTTCGTTTATTGCTGGTTACGGTTTCGTTTTAAAGAAAAGAACGAAACCTTTTGAACTTCGTGACCTGATTTGAAACGGTAAGCTTAAAA